CTTATTAGAAAATAAATAAACTGAATTTGTATATTAAATAAAGCATGAACTTTTACATTGTGAAAACACTTTTATTGTGTGATGAGAACTTTTAAAATATTTTGATGGAAATGACAGCGGTGGAAGTGACAGTTCAACGGTTTATTGTGAAAAAATTAAAAATAGCTTCGCCGATTAGCTTTAAACTGATACTAGCCATTTATGTATACAAAACACTCTTATTTACCTTAATTTTGTTTGGTTTTTAGCGATGAAAGAAAATATAAAACAACTAAATCAGATCAACTTTCAGTATAAATATCTTTGTAATATCAATCATAATGTGCTGTTATATATAAATCATAAGCATATGGCCGTATTGATGCATGTGTGTGGATGTACTTACAGTAAGCTATGTATTGGTTACAGACTATCACTTCTTTCTTCACTTCTCTGAACTTTACACCACAGATGACAAAATTGTCTCCACAAACCAATTTAGACGGGAAAAGATTGAGCAACAAGATTTGTTTTTTAATGATTTTAAAATACATTTTACAGTACATACTGTTTACCGAAAAATGTTTTGTTGAAGGTGAGTATTCGGCAGCAAGAGTCTTTATTTAAAAAGCTGGTGTGGATTTTTTCTTAAATTTTTATTGTTTTCAGTAGTAATTTGCTTTAAATTTAAGGTACTATACCCCTTTATAGTCACGGCCTTAACAAGAAAATCTGGTTATGTCTAGGCATATAGTCGAATAATAAGAGTTCAGTACATGAAAATGGCCATGCTGTCAGTCTAAACACCATTGTTTTGGAGAAACTGGCTCATCAATACAATACAGACTTTTGCGATGCACATTGTACTATTCCAACCCAGGCTCATTTTGATTACATACCCCTATATACATTTCTAGAGAGAGCAAACGACGTCCCAGGAGCTACGTTTTTTTTTTTTTTTTGCAGTTTTTTTTTTTGCAGTTTTTGTTTTTGCGAATTTTCATTGTCTTGTTGTTCTCCAACTGCTGCTGGTTTTAATGAAAAATTTACTCAGCTTTTTTTAATTCTGGCCTTTTTAACGCCACCTTTGCACGGTTTTTCATCTCTCGCGTATCTCTTAACAAATGATTTTGCTGATGAGCAAGGTGCTGCTGCTGGGGAGTCGAATGATAATTACATCATCATTTACATGCGGGCTGCATTTGGATGCAAGAAAAATTAGTAAAATTAATGGAGCTCTGGTAAAATAATGTACAAAAAGGGAGGGTATTGTAAAACAAACAAACAAATAAATAAATTAAAAAAATAAAAAAGTGCGACTGCTGAGAGTGCAGGCAGCTAGAGACACCGGCCCTCGCGGCCAAAACAAATACTGGCCCACCGCGAATATTCCCAGTCCTACCGATTTGCCAATCTGGGCCTGTCAAGTGTGTTTAAAATACGTTTGAAGCTAAATTGTGCTGGGCTTTAGCCCTTCAGAACTGATTAAAAACCATGTGACATGGCAACTATTCTCAAAAAGATAGCCATCACAAGATGCACTCTCTATTAATAAAGAGATGGACAAAGTCATACTTGAAACATAGGCTCATTCTGAAAACATAGCCCTCTATACATTTCTGGAGATGGCGAATTATGTAGCCAGAAGTATGTATGGCTGCATTTCCTCTTCACAACAAATGCTATGGGGCGGTTTGAAAAATTTTTTTTTTCGCACTTACCAGCTGACCGCTTACCTCCATATGGACGGCCTTCCTACTGTTACCAGTTTGTCCAGTTGCTCGCCATGTGACGTGTAGAACGGAGCTGACCACAATGACAGAATTCAAGTTCCAGAAAGCAGGTAAGACAAAAAAAAAAGATAGAAAATAAGTTAAACAAGTACATAACAGGGTAAGAATGTGGTAAAGTCTGAAAATGTGGTAAAGAATCATTTACCACATTCAGAATCCTTGCTTGCAAAATATAGACATACTTTAGAATGCTTAGTTTAAGCAAATTAGATGAACGCGATCATGCGTGTTGATGAAGTATCGCTCGCCGCATGCGCCGTACTGCGCGATTTGCCTTTTATAAGCTACAATAACAAACACCTGACATCGCTGACACCTTTATCCCTTAAAGCTGTTTAGAATTAAGCATTTAGAGATAGTGTGACATAACGCTTACTTATGTGTGCCTTTAATGCACCCTTTTGTGCTTCTTAAGGCCGTCACACAGCGGATGCGCCGCTCAGAGCTGCGGCACGGCGCGCACAAGACAGTTGATACTATCACACACCAGACGTGCACATTTGCATGTTATTTAAAATTAAACTATTCAGATGGCGCTCTGTGGCATGGCAGAAATATGAACAGTCACGACCTGCTTTACGTTCTTGTTGCAGCACCGAAATTAGGCACTGAAATTCATATGCTGATTTGATCCGGTGCATACCGGTTCCACACCGGGTTTCGGTACCCAACCCTAGTCAACAGCGGCCTCTCGTGGATTTACATGAGAAAAGCAGGTGTAAATGGCACTAGCGAGAGAAATTTGAGATCTCAAAAAGCATACACAGCGGCCTCTGGTGGTTTCGCGAAAAACAAAAACTGCATAAAAAGTACCTCCTGGGACATATTTGGCGCTCTCCAAAAATGTATGTAGGGGTACATTTACTCTAGTACAATAATACTCTGGTGCAATAATACTTCAGTACATTAGACTGTGACATTTGAGCAATATTCAGTGTCAAGAAAAGATCCCCCACACTATTACAACAGCAACAGCAGTCTGAACCTCATGAGATCAGGCCGACCAAAATTTTTAATCTTGCAATTTTGGTGAACCAGTGTGAAATATAGTTTTGGTTACTGCTCTACTCACGCAGAACTGAGCAAGACCCAGTGTTAACAACTAAAAACTAAACTTAAACAATTTAGGAACTAATGACACATTATTTAAAGGTACAATTCTTGGTATTAACAAAGCATTAACTAAGACTTTAAGCTTAATAAACAACTAATTTGCTGCTTATTCTTAGTTAAAAGTTAGGATTTAGGTTTGGGTATTGGGTAGAATTAGGGATGTAGAATAAGATCGTAAATTATAAGTAGTAAACAACCAATATCTTAAAGGTACATTATGTACATTTGACACCCAGTGGTTGAACTAGGTATTGCATTACAGGATCAAAACAAACGCAAACGCAGGTTGCCAGATTGAGGACTGGAGTGAGTGATTTAAACTGTTCTAAATAAAAGCAAGAGCACCCGATAGAATGAATATCTTTCATATTAAAAAGAGTTTTTGTTCCAACCAACACCTCAAATTGATATATTAGAAACAGCTTCTATTTCTCACAGCTAAACAACAGAAAACTGACAATGATCACCTCAGGTAAACCTCATGTGCTTTGTTCAGTGTTAAATGCTAACAATGTGAGTTTGAATGCCGTTGTACATGACATGTATTGCCATACTACTGAAAGCAGCAGCAGATTCACCTCAGATCTTGAAAATAAAAATAAACTGTTTGAAAATAAACACAAATGAGTGATTCAGAATGTGCATTTAATAATGTTAAAGAGGGTTAATATGTATTAAAAAGATGATAAACCTTACCATGCCATACAGTAAGTGAGTGCATATTCTGTGCTTCTGAATGGCTGTATTTAAATTTATGTCGTGTTTCGTGTGGTGCAAACAGCCAAATTGTTTATCACTGCATATCTCGTCGCGTAGCATGATGTTAGGACACGCGGTTACAGTGTAACCTGCTCATCTAATGTTTACTTTCGCAAGATTTATAGAATTTGCTAAGGAATAACCTCATGTGCAACTGAATCTGTCTCATTTCGGAGTCTTCTACTGTCCACCAGAGGTCACATTTCCGGCACGGACGCATGCTTTCAGAGCCTTTCTTAATAAATGAATGAAATACGCTGTTTTCCAACAAGGCAACCCGGGATGCTGAAATATAATTGGCGAAAGTGGGATTGGGCAGGTTAAAGTTAACAAAACAAAGATATCGTTCCGGCACGGAAAACGCCTTTTCAAAGCTAAAATGTCTGACATTGTTTTTAGAAAAGCAAGAATGTTCACATGGCGTGTTTCTTAAATATCTGCAAGCATATTTTTATGCTTTAGAAGAGTCAAAAGCTAACACACAGCACCTTTAATAATAGGCAGGTAATAAGTCAGTAGTTAACAGTAGGAATTGTTACTTTACACTAGAACTGCCGGAGGTTACTGTATACCCAAAATTGCCAGTGTAGGTAACTTTCAGCCTGATCTCGTGAGGAAACATAAGTATTTTACGTTTTGTCAGTTTAGTGGCTAATTTGTACGAATTTGTACGAGTTCAGTCGTACAAAAATGTACGATTTTAAAAAGGAGGCGTGGCACCCAACCCCACCCCTAACCCCAACCGTCATTGTGTGATAAGCAAATCGTACTAAATTTACGAATTAGATCGTACAAATTCATACAAATTGTCACTAAATCAAAAGTAGGAATTGGCGTGAGATTGAGTTGGTAAATTTTACCCAGAACAAATTTTAAGAAATTGCTAAAAAACAATGAAATTATTATTTTTTTGAAATTATTATTGAAATTTCATGAAATTATTATTTCAGAATAACAAGATTATTTTAGGAGTCGATTATAAGTAGGTTAAAATGTCTAAATTTGAGCCATCATACTCTGATGCATAACTTATTTCTCTAGACACTCCATAATTCATCGCATTTTGTGTTTTTAATAGCTCTACAAGTCGCTTTCTTTTAGTCACTGTGACATTATTCATTTATTACAACCACTAATTCAGTGAACTAAATTAAAAGTCAACATAAGCAGTGCATAAACACAAGCATTTTGATAGTGGGTAAATTTGACCCCATTGCGGTTCTAGTGTTAAACTATAATGTTGCCAAATAGTTGTTACGCTGCCATACCATAATTGGTTGTTCACTATTGGTTGTTGTGTACTTGTAGGTGTGTTCAAACGATTGCTTAAAAACACAAATGCCATTCCTGAATTTTGTAGAAGTGCTCTTTAGATCTGTCTGTGTATGAGCAGTCCTCCTCCTTTCCTGCATTGAAATGAACAGCATTGTGTTTATTCTACTGATTGGGGTTGTGGGTATGTATCTCTCTTTGCTTCTTATTTGATATGCATAATGTTTGCTGGATTATACCTGCATTGTAATATAGTAAGTTAACATTAAAATTAACAATAGTATCTCTTACACTGTGTGGGTTGTTTCCATTATATCAATTAGTGTTATTTACATTGATCTTACATTTCGTAGGGGGTTTATTATCTTCAGGGACCTGTTTTATATTTAGTTAGCATTACATTTAACAATAATATGTCCCAGTAATATGGATAGTAATAGGTTACTATTGTGATGATCATTGTTTGGGTAAGAAATCTCCTTTTTTAAATATTGTATACACTACCTGACAAAAGTCGTCAATCCCAGTTGTAAGAGCAACAAATAATAACTCAACTTCTCATTTGGAAAAGTAGCAGAAGGTAGATTTTTCCGATGAATCATCTGTTGAACTGCATCTCAATCATCACAAATGCTGCAGAAGACCTATTGGAACCCACTTAGACCCAATAATCTCAGAGAGATCAGTCAAGTTTGGTAAAGGAAAAATCATGGTTTGGGGTTATATTCAGTATAGTGGTGTGCGAGAGATCTGCAGAGTGGATGGCAACATCAACAACCTGAAGTATCAAGACATTTGTCCTGCCCATTACTTTACAAACAACAGGAGAGGGCAAATTCTCCAGCAGGATAGTGCTCCTTTTACTTTAGCCTCCACATCAAAGTTCCTGAAAGCAAAGCAGGTCAAGGTGCTCCAGATTGGCCAGCCCAGTCACCAGACATGAACATTTTTGAGCATGTATGGGGTAAGATGAAGGAGACGTTGAATATTAATCCAAAGAACCTTGATGAACTCTGGGAGTCCTGCAAGAACACTTTCTTTGCCATTCCAGGTGACTTTATTAATAAACTATTTGAGTCATTGCAGAGATGTATGGATGCAGTCCTCCAAGCTCATGGAAGTCATACACAATAATCATATTTCTTTTTGCTAAAATAAGCGTAATCTAGAAGCCTTTGCCTTTCATATAAGCCACTTGATACCAAATGATCAACTACTGTAGAAGTCAATTTATTATTTGTTGTTCCTAAAACTTGGAAAGGCAACAAGACTTTTATCAGGTAGTGTACAGTTGAAGTCAAAAATCTGAATTATTAGCCCTCCTTAGAATTTATTTTGTAATAATTCTGATTTTAACTGTATATACAAGAATAGCACACAGTTTCACTGACTTTCATTGTAACATCAAAATAAATTCATATATATATACATACATACATACATATATATATATATATATATATATATATAATTTTTTTTTTTTTTATTGAAGTTCACAGCAAGGGTGATAAAATCATTGGAGGTCATGAATGTCAGCCTCACTCTCAGCCCTGGCAAGCGCGCCTCGATGATGGATATGGCTTGTGTGGGGGATCTTTGATACATGAGAGTTGGGTTGTGTCTGCTGCACACTGCAAGTCCTCGTAAGTATCACATTATCGACATTTCTAGACATTATATGAATTATATTATAGACATTTTATAAATTCATCTTTAACTCAATATGAAATAACTAGAAATACTATATTAAGCATTATTTGGTTGTTATTAAGCTCTTTAATAAAGATAAGATTTCCCACATCGGGTATTCCAGCTCTAATTAAAAAAACAAAGTGTTTTTAATCAGTTTCTTATCATAACACAGTTACTTTTATGGATTACATATTCACACTGTGGCTAAATAAATAAATAAAAAGTTCTTTAACAAAGTCTTCATGTTCGGTGGAATAGCACGTTTGAGACACTATTTGTTGTAAGATCAATTTGATTTACATTTTTGAGGTTTTTATGCAACCCAGGCTCATTATGGATACGTACCCCTGTATACATTACTGAAGAGCACAACATATGTCCCAGGAGGTATGTTTTTTCTGCAGTTTTTGTTTTCGCGAATCCACCAGAGGCCGCTGTGTATGCATTTTCAGATCTCAAATTTCTCACTCGAGTGCCATTCTTGCCTGCCCATCTCGCGTAAATCCACCAGAGGTCGCTGTTGACTGAGTGACCCAACCAATAGTGTTTTTAAAAACACTGATTGACCCACCCATTGCCTTCCTTAAACCCAACCAACAGTGTTTTTTTAAAAGCAATCCAGAAAGGAAAAGCCCTTGTGGCTGTCTCTTACCATGTTTTCAGATCTTTCCACGTTCTCACCCTGTTATTTACTTTTTATTTTGTTTTGCCTGCTTTCTGGAAGCGTTCTTTGTCGAAGCCTGTCGTCGCAGTCAACTCCTCTCTGCTTCTCAAATCTGTTGACGTATGCAGTGAGCCACTGGGCAAACAGGTAACAGCGGAAAAGCTGTCCATATGGAGGTAAGCAGTCAGCTGGTAGCGAAAATAGACTCAGAAGCCGTGTGCTGCGTCATACCACCCTGTTGAGTTCATTTTAAAGATTTAATGCAGCCATACTTACCTCAGGCTATATAATTTGCACTCTGCAGAAATGTATACGGGGGTACCTATTCATAACGAGCCTGTGTTGTTTTTATGAGTTTTTTATTAATGCCGTTTTGGCATCAAGGTGCCCACTGGGTAGATAGACAATATTCTGATTAATTCAAATATTACTTCCTTGCCAATAGATCTATCATCGTCCATCTGGGAAAACACGACCTGTTTGTTGTTGAAGACACAGCGCAGGAGATCCAAGCAGAGAAGGTGATTTCTCACCCAAAGTACAATAATAGGGAACACAACAATGACATCATGCTGATCAAGCTGAGAGAGCCTGCTGTTATCAACAACAATGTGAAGCCAGTCCCACTTCCAACCAATTGCTCTCATGCAGGGGAGCAGTGCTTGGTTTCTGGATGGGGCGTAACTGGAGGTGAGGTGGTGATAAATTTTATTCATACTGTATATAATTTAATTAAAGGATAGTTCATCCAAAAATGAAAACTGTGTCATTAACTCACCCAACACAAAGGAAGATATGATGTAGAATTTTGGAAGAGAGAAAAAACTGACTTCCATAGTTTTTACTATGGATGCCAGTGGCTGCTTTTTACAACATTTTCTTTCAGAATCTCTTTTTTCTTATTCTTTAGATATGTTTTTTTTTTTTTTTTTTTTTAGATATTATGCATGTGTATTTTAAGTTGATATATTGCTAACCTGTATATATTACTATAATATGTTACTAAAATGATTGAATATTTAGTGAGCATTAAAATAAACTATATTTCTTGTTTTGTGTTCTTTTGACATCATGTTGAAAATTATTAAGACTTTAGCTACACTGTAAAAAAAAAATCTTACTGACTTAGATTTTTTGTTAAATCAAATGATCTTTTACTCAGATAAACTGACAAAATATTAAGTTAAACTTTGCATAAGATTAGTTGAAATGCAATTAACTTAAAATGAAAATAAAAATGAATATAAAGTAGCACAAAAGCTTTTGTGGTGAAAAAAACACGATTTTGTTTTAACACCATTCATATGTTTTTTTTTTATCCAGATTCCATTTCTTCTACACTGCAGTGTTTGGAATTGCCTATATTATCAAAAGCAGACTGTAAAAGTGCGTATGGAAGAGTCATAACGAAAAAGATGTTCTGTGCTGGATTCATGGATGGAGGAAAAGACTCATGTCAGGTACGTTAATGATTGTTGTTGTTATTATATTTTGTATGAATATATGTATTATTTTCATACAAATGGCCACTTTGCTTTTTGATTCTCCGATTTTCCTTTCAGGGGGATTCTGGTGGTCCTGTAGTGTGCAATGGGACACTGAAAGGCATTGTGTCCTTTGGCATTGGTTGCGCTGAACCAGGCTTTCCTGGGGTTTATGTTGAAGTGTGCCGCTACATAAACTGGATCAACTACATCATAGCTAATAACTAACTGCTTGTTCAGCCTGTTTGGTTCTGTTTTGATTAATTTTCTTAATAATCAGTAACTGGATAAAGCTTTCAACACTCACACACACACACACACAGACAGAGAGATAGAGAGAGAGAGAGAGAGAGAGAGAGAAAGAGAGAGAGAGAGAGAGAGAGAGAGAGAGAGAGAGAGAGAGAGAGAGAGAGAGAGAGAGAGAAAAAAGATAATGTCCTGGTAAATAATTTCTAGCAAATTTTACTTTAAAAATAAACCATCGTTCCATTTGAGCTTGTAATAAAACATAAATAATTTTTTCAAAAACTTTATGTGTCTTTCTGGCTTGTTTATGAAGTTATCTTTTCTCTTTTTGTGTTTAATAACAAAACAAATTAATGTTCATACCATGGGCGTTGCTAGGGTCGAAAGGGATAAGGGGTTGGAAGTCCCCCCATCCACCGCCAAAAACAAGTTTTAATTCACTCCGGTAAAATACTCCAGCTTTCAAAAGGTGATATACTCTCATCTTAATAATAGGATTCTAAATGGTTTAATAATAAATAAAGGGTTTTGTAGTTGACCATCTTTTAACAATAAATTGTGAAGCTTTGTGACTTTTTGTAACACCAAAAAGGAAAAAAACATTAATAAATTAACCCACTTCTCATTTGCTAGTCTGTTATGAGCCATATCATACCTCTTGAGCCTCCTATTTCATCCTGATTTGCAGGTTCTGTTTGTTTTTTGTTATTTTTGAAAATGTAATTTTCTACATGTCTTTAAATCTAAAAATATGATTTACTTAATAGTGTGAGTTGTTATCTAATGTGGTACAAACTACTAACATGTTCATTTGGACAGAGGGATTAACTAGGCGTAGCGTTGTCAAGATACTGGAATTTCTAAATCCAATACCTTGCAAAAAATTGATATAGGATTTATTGAAATAACAGTTGACAAATAACCAATACTTTGGGCCACACATAGGCCAGACTGACTTACTACATGTGAGATTTTTTAAAGGGTGTAGTACATTCACAGAAGTCAGACTGACTTACTATAGCTGAGATTTTACGCATATTTTCATTCATATTTTACAGTACACAAATATTTTTGAAAAGTAATTACAGTAACTCACCCTACGGTAATTTTATGATTTTAAAGGGTGTAGTAAATTTACAGATACCAGACTGACTTACTACAGGTGAGATTTCACCCATAATTTTATTCATATTTGTACAGTAAACAAATAATTTTCAAATATATTTCCGGTTATTCACCCTACTGTAGTGTTATGATTTTAAAGGGTGTAGTACATTCACATAGGCCAGAGTGACTTACTACTGTGAGATTTTACCCATATTTTTATTAATATTTTTACAGTACACAAATATGTTTTAAAAATATTTACAGTAATTCACCCTACTGTTTTTAAGATTTGAAAGGGTGTATTACATATATATATATATATATATATATATATATATATATATATATATATATATATATATATATATATCATCATAATTAATATTACTAACTATTACTTTTTCATTTTCTAATAAATAATAATCATTCTCTCCCCGCGTTCACGTGGGTTTCCTCCTTGTGCTCCGATTTTCCTCACAAGTCCAAAGACATGTGTTACAGGTGAATTGGGTAAGCTAAATTGTCCAAAGTGCATGTGTTTGAATGAGTGTGAATGGATGTTTCCCATTGATGGGTTGCGGCTGGAAGGTCATCCGCTGCGTAAAAACGTGCTGGAAAAGTTGGCGGTTCATTCTGCTGTGGTGACCCCGGATTAATAAAGGGACTAATAAGCCCAAAAGAAAATGAATGAATGAATAAATAATAAATATTCAATTTAATTTCTTAATAAATAGCCCCATTATTTATTTATTTACATGATTTATATATGATATTAGAATACATGTTAGCTTTTGTAAGTGATTTTATTTTAGAATATGTAATGTTATCAGTAATATTTGTAAAGGAAACACAGGCCCTGTATGGGTCTGCATATATTTGAATTAATATGGAAAACGAGTGCATGTCTTTACCAAAACTAATATTGGACTTTTATTTTTAAATGTGTGTGCGTGTAAAACAATATAATTTGCACAAAGAAATTATGGGGTTCTTCTCTAAAGAGGTTGTTACCACCCCGTTTAGAGCATCATTATGGGTTTTTTATGTTATAACTAACGAGGTTCAAACGATGGATCTGCAACAGAGAAACTACGGGTTTTGGGAAACACTCGTCACTACATTGTTCTTTTCCCAAACGATGCATTGTAGACTATTCAGCTGCTAGTTACGTCATTGTTTGGGAAACCCACCCCAGAAAAACTGAAATTACAAATAATAAAGTAAATGTTTCATGCAATCATTTATAAAACGCATACACAACAAGATAAAAATTTGACTTAATTATTTAATGATTAAAAAAAGTTAAACTAAATGTATGATTCAGGAAGTGAAGATAGTCAAAACAGGTAAATAACAGTCTATATAGTGACATAATATTTTTGAAATATAAATAACTAGATATAATAGTGTTATTATTCAAATACAATATTCATCAAGGAAACACAAAATGCATCAGCAATGAAACACCCATCAATAAAATAAATCCCAACGTTAAAATATAAAATTAATATAAGGCCATAGGCCTTAACTTTAACACCTTAAGCAGTACTATTTGTGAGCGTATCTGTCCAGCACAAGCTCTGACTGGCTACTATTTCTGCCAGTAAAACTTGTCCAGGGTTAAAGCCCTAATGCTACTGTAAGGAGCTTATCATTTGCTCCTCTCCCAGACTCAATCCCTTTCTCCTCCCACTTAAGACTTCAGCCTGCAAGCGCACACCTGACACAAACTTCTTTTCAACGGTAAGCTGAAATAAATTGATTCTGCTTAACATTAAAAACACTTTTTTATTGCTGTTATATGAATTTACATGTGTCTGGTCATTTTTAAGGCTGCAAAAGAATGTGCTTTTTTAATAACAGATTGGTTTAGAGGTTAACAGATTGTAAATATGACTACATTTTATACAGGTAAAGTTGGTTTTATATTTGCACATTTGGGCTTTCTCCATAATAATATAATTTCAGAAAATAATTCTTTGCAAATTCTAAATAGATAAATCATATTAGCAGCTAAAGACTATAAAAATGTTTGCAGTCAATTAAATAGTGCTAATGTTGTTTTAAAGTCATATTACATGCAATGTCAGACTGAATATTTAATGTAGCATGGTAAACAATAGGCTATAGGGAGTGTAACAAGTTGTCAGTGAATGAATGTGTGCATATGAAACCAACTTTAAACCTTAAAGTTGGTTACAGATATAAAATAAAAGAATAATGATGAGTGTCAATATAGGCCTTTTTTATTTACAACACTACATATTGGACTTCAAATATAGGTATTTCTATTTATTTATTCGTTTGTATTGCATGAGCTTGACATTTTAAGTTTAACACTTGGAGGATACACTGAAATCAACATTTTATGCAATTTTTTGCTTGCTTTTTGTCTGTATATTTTCAGTACAGTAGATATACCACTAGATGGCACAAAAACCGCATTTTTCCATCCTAAACATAGTTTTGATCATGGAAATTTAGTAGATCCTCCTTACCCTGTGTAGATACAATTAATTTTAGCCAAACAATTTATCCAAATGTAGTTCGAGACACGTTTTGTTAATTTTTTCTTGTTTTGTTCAGGATAAATAAATGAACTACTATGTAAATTTATGGTGTCTGCAGAATAAATGTGTCCTTCAGTTCAGCTTAATGGTACAATAATTAACAGATAATAAATAATTGTCTGACTTTTGCATTTGCTTAAATGACATACAAAAAATAAATTTTTACAAGCAATATTTTTAGGCTAGTATAATAAGATTAGAAATATGTTTTTTATATATTAGCTACAGAACAAATTACTGTCATCCAATTGTGCTATAGTATCAAAATATTAGTATATTGCAAAATAGCTAGTAACATATCCTCTTGGCAAAGATAAATTAAATGAGTTATTAAACTATTGTTTTTAAATGCGTGTAAAAAAAACAGCACTCTGAAGTACTGGTATTACCTAGGTATAACATAGTACTGGGAAAACCCATACACGCTCACATTCACACTCATACACTACAGACAATTTTGTTATTCAATTCATATAGTACATGTCTTTGGACTGTGGGGGAAACTGCAGCACCCGGAGGAAACTCACGGAAACAAGGGGAGAAATTGCAAACTCCTCACAGAAATCCCAACTGGCCTAGCTGGGACACAAACTGTCACGAAATGATCACAAAATGCAAAAATCCAAGTGCAGCAATTTATTATAACAAAGACTAAGGTATCCAAAAGACAAAGGTTTCCAAACTAGAACAGAACTAAAGCAGGATGCAAATCTAGTCCAAACAAGAGGACAGGCAAAAATCCAAAAACGAGTAAATACAAAAACAGGGTAGGAGTGCTAAAGAGGGCTAACGAAAACAAACACAAAACAGAATCCAAGAATTATCAAAATACAAAAACTAGATGACCAGACAAACATACCAAACGTGAGGAGCTAACAAAATCCTAAGGCAACTAAAACAGAGAACAAGAGGGTTTATAAAGACAGGACTAAATTAACAAACATGAAACAGCTGTAACATAACACAATCAGTGATACAAAGGAATTTAGGAAATGAAGTGAAACTACAAAACAAACAAGTGCTCTCAAGTGTCCAAACTAGGGCACTGCAACAGATGTGACACGAACCAGCAACCTTCTTGCTGTGAAGCGACAGTGCCAACCACTGAGCCACAAAGTCCCTGATAATTTAAAAAAAAAAAAAATATGTATATATATATATATATATATATATATATATATATATATATATATATATATATATATATATATATATAATTACAATTATATATATAAAAATGTTGATATAAAGCCAAGCCCTGATTTATACTCCAGGAATATGAATGATTTCAGGCTTAAATGCATATCGCCACAAATGTCATATTAATATTCTGAGTGTGTATTTATATTCAGTTTGTGTGATTTTTGGTTGATGTAAATGAATGTTATTTCTCCGCATGTGCAGGTCCAGCTTCAACCAGACGCAAAGATGTGCGACCAGACATTCTTGGCCATCACATTTGGCCCATGTGATAAATGCAGTGAGAACAAACCTCTGATGAATATTTATCTGAAGAATGAGCCAATCAACTACTGCTCGCTATGTGTGGAGATGGTAAGTTATCACACACTTCCGCTGCTCCAGGATCAGTTCGGTAACACAATG